TATATATATATATATATATATATATATATATATATAATGGACAAACCGACATTTTATTTATTAAAGACATTTTTATGTCTTTAATAAATAAATTGTCGGACTTTGTCCATTTCTTAATATATGACGTCATTTGTTTACATTTGATACGCCATGAGCAGTTATGAATGTACGAGATTCATGGAAGATTGAAGTTTATAAGCAGTAAATTCGACCTTGTCTACCGAACGTGTGGCCGATCGGTAAGGCACGTCAGCGTAAATGACGGTTCCGTATAGGATGCAGGTTCGAATCCTGTCGAATATTTTCTATGAAAATTTCTCGGACATTCAGGCCGGTAAATGTTATTTAATACTGTTTATTATAAACAGAGCATTTACTTAAATACTTGTATCTATAAAAAGAACGGTAAATATAAAAATGTCTTTTATATATATATATATATATATATATATATACATATCACTTTCCTGGATGCTAACCTCCTTCTCAGCCTAACGTTCTCAATTGACATGAAGACTATATTGAATCCATTGCGAGGCCAGCACATTTCACTGTGATTTATCTTGAGTTCCTTGATGAAACCCAAAGAAGAATCATCAATATTATTGTTCCTGATCTGGCGTCTTAGTTTCATTTACTTTCGCACCGCCGTAAGGTTGTCTCTCTCTGCCTTTCTATAAATACTTTCATGGTAATTGTTCGAATGTTCCTTTCATTACGGTACTTACATTTTTTTGAATTTAAGCGAAGTACTAGACCAGCGACGACATCTCATCAATTTACAGATGCACTGGTGAGATATAACTTTATGCTCTATGCTACGAGTTTCTTTTCTCGCTCTTTTCACTTCCGACTCCGTGCTTTTCAGCTAACTATAATCTGCAAAAATTTAAATACAATGTCAATCGCTATCTATTGTCTTGATTTGCTTTCTATTCTTCTCATGCCCTTTTGTTTCTCTTTGTTTCTTGTTCCTCCGCACTCATCAACCCTTGTGTCCTAGTGGCTTTACTGCCTTTAATGGCGCGATACGTTTAAAAAAAATCTGATAAACTACAACAGATACTTTTTTATGGCACTTGAATTGAGATGGGATTATCTTTGTTTTATATTAAGTGTTGGTAGTGAACAAGTTGCATGTCATTGAAGTTACACTTAACAACTCCTTGAGCTTGAGAAGCATAAATTTATCAGGTGTTTCTCTTCGGGTATTATAATAAAAGATAAAAAAACGTATCAATCCTTCCTCTGCTGCTGCTGGTTCAGCCAATAAGGAAATTTTGGTATCATTTCTTGTTTTTCATGCATTTGTATGTTTTCTTTTCCTTTTTGTTTTGTTTTGAGTGTTTTCTTTTCTTAGGAATTTTCGAATTATTTGTTTTGTATATTTACTTATTCTACTACTTGCTGAATACAACGAAAATTGGAAGCAAAACAGCATTTTATATGACCCTTACGTGCTCCCATTGAAAAAAAAGTCGAATCATAACTTTTGAAAAAATGATCTCCTTCTTTCTCTTTTTCGTTTTTTTTTTTTTTTTTTTGACTGAATCATTCGCGAGAACTGTAATAATGTGAACAGTAAAATTCAAATTCTTCCGCTTCTGTGAGCAGAGAAGATTCCACTGATCGTTTGCGTCGGCCAGAAGAAAAAAAAGAAAGATGAATCGAAGAATGGAAGAACGTGAATTTCGGATGAGCGATTAAACAAATAGACGAGGAAACGGAATGAAAAGAAAATACAAATTTTAGGTCAAAAATGAAGTATCGATAGAATTTATGTGAAACAGGAAAAAACGGCGGACGGCGAGATTAACGCCTCTTCGCGCTTGATATAAAAACCTAACGGAAATAAAGGGGAGATAATTACGAAAATAAAATTATAATTAGGATTGTAAAAAAAAAGAATAATAATTGGCATTTGGGGCTTGGTAGCGTACCGGTTACCATCAGGGAAAGTTGAAGCGACAATCGAGTTTAATTTTTATCCTACTTTTATGTATGTGCCTAATAAATAATAAATAACGTAATAAATCATCTTATGTATATGCCTAATAAAAATGGTGTCTTAATAATGTCTTTTCTCGGTATTCAATAAAAAGGAGGATCTTAATAGAAGGGTGCCTATAACCCATTTAAAGGGTCTAAATGTGCAAAATTAATAAAAGTGGTTGTTTTAATAAGCTCTATGGGAGAAAGGTTGAAAAACTCCATGGAAAAAATATAGCTCCCACCCCAATCCCAAACCTCTACCACGAGATCTATGAAGCAACTAAAAGTAGTTAGTTTTGCTCACTTTCAAATTAATGCCGTTTTGGAAAGCATGAATCCATCTTTTCTCCTCCCACCTATAGATTAAATAGTAGAGTAGCCTTGAGTTGCAACCAGTCTCCGAGAAGAAAAATTATGAATTCAAAACCGAGGAGTTGGCAATAGGAAAGCACTTGATTATTTTCCCGAAGAAGTCCTGGCAGTACGCAGATCTCTTTACGATAAGGTTCACTCTGTAAAAGGCCCAAGAGACACTCGAGTTAGATAATTACAGAGTGAGAGGTACAGAGCACAGTTTATGCGGATATGTTTGGAATATAGCGATTAACCCTCGACTTGAACAGGTTAAAATGGTACTGATCAAAGAAATATCTTCTTGGGAGTCGGTTCCACATACTAGAGATTTATGGCAAGCTGATCGAGTGGACTTTAACTCACCAATGGAATGCGAAGGGAATGAGGATGGCTTACTACAATGGTCTTAGCTGTGAAGGTTGGAACAGGTGGATCCAGGAAATATAATTAGTCTGAATATTTTCCATGAGAGTAGCGATAGGTTTGCCACTGTGGAAAAGTGGTTGTACCGTGGAAAATAATTCATTCGCCCACAAGGACGTGTAGACACTATTAAACTCTATCGATACTTGAAAGTGAAGACTGGTCAGCTTCTGTCCACATATGTCAGCAGTACTCAACTTTCGTTTTTGTAAAGATAAGGATAGTAGGAAGTGTCGGGTACTTACTAGAGAGGTACTGGGATCCAACCATTTTCCCAGCATCTTTAGAAATGGATCGTATGTACTTGTTTCACTTGAGGTTTAAGTAGAGCTTAAGAACATTCAGCGTCAGTATAATACGAAAAACTGTCTGAACGTCTACATCTTGAAGCCATATAAATCAACCATTCGCCCTTGCATGGAATATTTCTGTCATATACGGTCTGTTCGCCTTAAGGGCCTCCACAAAATCCAGAGACGAATATGCAATGTGGTTGGACGTGATCTGGCATCTCGTTTACATCGATCTCTCACAAATTTTCTACAAATTCTTTCACAGACAAGCTAGTTCCCAAACTGCCAACCCTTTTACTGTAGCTTCATGTCTCGCACTTCCCGTCTGTGGAACTCCCTTCCTTTTACATTATTTACATCATTCGTACTATGTCGCCATATTTATTACAACGTTTTGACCAGTGTACGCTTCAGGTGGTTGGAATGTCGAACTGAACCCTTTATTTCGCTCACTGGTGTAGTTCCATTTGTTTAATGGATGTCAGTTTTCAGTTAAGTTCTGAAAGTTCTCCACTGCCTTAACCGGGTATTGAACTCACACTCTTGGCCCACTGGATCTAACCAACGCCATTATCCACTGTGCCATGTGTCCTTGAGTGAGCATCTGTGTATGAATTTCTGGGTATTATAAACCTAATGTCTTCAGCAACCATTTTTCCCAGTGCTCATATTGCAATTTTTGCTGTTATCATTACATGTTTTTATCAGAGCTCATATTGCAACTTTGTTGTTATTACCCTTCCTCTTACTTGCTTCCCTGATAGCTATAATCTCCATCTATTCAAATGCAATATCAATCGACATCTCCGGATGCCATGATCTATTTCCCGTCTTTCTTTTTTCTCTATCACGCATCTTTATTCTTGCTCAAACTCTTTGTAACCCCTTGCGTGCTAGTGGCACTCCCGCCTTGCTTGGAGTGAAAAGCTTAAAAAAAAATTAAAATATAACCAAAGAAATAGTAATTGTGTAGCAGTAAAATACAGCGATATATTAATTATTTGATGAAGAAATGGCAATTGCCACAGATTAAATTCGTATGAAGCGATCGAGAAAATAAAACGAAAACAGAGAAAAAGATTTTAAGTTAGAAAATTAGAATTTTAATGATATACGACGATGAAGAAAAAGAATGGACAATCTGCTGCGTTTTTTCATTAAGCAAGGCATAAGAAAAAATAAATATAGGAAAATAAAAATGGGGAGAAAAATAAAGAAACAGCGATGAAAACGAGCGGGAAAATAGATTTTAAAAGATATGCCCTCAGAAATCTGCCATATTTTACGAAGTCTGGTTCAAGGCTTCAAATGTAGAGCAGCAAGTAAAAAAACAAACTAGCGACACTAGCAAACAGTTTTATAACACTAGCTTGATAAAAATAATGAAGAGTTCTTTTACTACATCGAGAAAAACAGTAATTAAAAAGAAAAAACTTATTGTAAGAAGCATGAGACAGAAAATAAAAAAAAAAAAAACAATGAAGTTAGATAAAAAAACGAAAAAAAACCCAATGAAGTTAGATTTAAAAGAACAAAGGCTATGAAGAATATAGGAAAAGTAACATAAAATTAAAAAAAGAGAATACATATGAAAGAATAAATAAATGTCTACACACCTATTCTCTAACCCCATCATAAAAATTTCAAGGAAAGCTTTCTTTTTTTTTTCACGCAATTGTCGCAGTCAACCATTTTTTATTGCTTTTGCGGGTTGCATTGAGCGGTTCAATTCAAGGAAGATTGCTTTTTATCCTCAACACTAGAGGAATGTGAATGCTTTTTAAAGGCCATTATTACCAAAATGAAGGAAGACAATAACAAACAATAAAAACGAGTTCGATTAAAAGGAATGTATTTCGCAACGGCCGGATACGGCCATTTTCTTTTTTGGTCTTTCTTTTTTTTTTTTTTTTTTTGCTGCAATGGTCTTCTTAGAGAATGTTGCTTAGGTCATTTTTTAAGGAAAGATTTCTATTGAGAATCCCGCAAAATTGACGGTGCTTGACACGTTGTTCAGGTCAGATAACAAAAAAGGAAAACGTTATTTATATTCAAAGGCGTAAATAATGTGGTCGTATCATCATGGCGATTTTTAAATCAAGTCGAATATTGCATATATTCCGAAAAGTACAATTTGACAAATATTAGGATGCTGATAACGATGGCATATGTTCTCTGTAAGACCAAGAAAATAATAAAAAGAACAATTTTGATGGTTAGTCATTTTAAAACCTGCAGTGGTTTGGGCCAACAAACTTTTGCGTCTGGATGACATTATGCTGCCTGATTCGAACCCTTTTTATTTATTTATTTTTTTTTATTTTATTTTAAACTTCTCTTATTTTTATTCCACTCTTTTCAGTTCATCTCTCTAATCCAATTCTTTTATTTTAATCTATTTTCCTTTCATTGTTTCTGCTTTTGTTTCTTTCTTACTCACTTTCTTTCTTTTCCATTCTCGTTTCTTTCTTTCTTTTCCTTTCTAGCTGTTTTCTTTCCTTCTTTCTTTCTTTCTTTCTTACTTTCTTTATTTTTATTTCGTGTTTCTTTTTCCTTTCTCACTTACTTTATTTCCTTTCTTCATTCTTTCTTTCTTTCTTTTCCTTTCTTGCTGTTTTCTTTCCTTCTTTCTTTCTTTCTTTCTTTATTTTTATTTTGTGTTTCTTTTTCCTTTCTCACTTTATTTCCTTTCTTTTTTCTTTCTTTCTTTCTTTCTTTTCCTTTCTTGCTGCTTTCTTTCTTTCTTTTTTCTTTCTTTCTTTTTTCCTTTCTTTATTTTTATTTCGTGTTTCTTTTTCCTTTCTCACTTTATTTCCTTTCTTTTTTCTTTCTTTCTTTCTTTCTTTCTTTTCCTTTCTTGCTGCTTACTTTCTTTCTTTTTTCCTTTATTTATTTTTATTTCCTGTTTCTTTTTCCTTTCTCACTTACTTTATTTCCTTCCTTCATTTCTTTCTTTTTTTTCTTTCTTTCTTTTCCTTTCTTGATGCTTTCTTTCTGTCCTTATTTATTTATTTAATTATTTTACGTGTTTCATTTTCCTTTCTCACTTACTTACTTACTTTCTTTCTTTCTTTCTTTCTTTCTTTCTTTTCAGTTCATTTCATATCCTTTCCTTTGTTTTCTTTTTCCAGAGCTTTCCAGTTTCGTTTTTGCTTACTTTCACTTTCTTTCTTTCTTTCTTTCTTTCTTTCTTTCTTTCTTTCTTTCTTTCTTTCTTTCTTTCCAGATCCATCTTTCACTTTCTTTTTCTTTAGAATGCGATTTCTTTCTTTCGGTTATTCACTCTACACGCACTCTTCTTACCTCTTACTCCAGATTCCTATTTCTCCGTACTCTCTCTCTCTCTCTCTCTCTCTCTCTCTATGTCTCTGTCTGTCTATCTCTCACAATTTCTCTTCAAACAGACACTTTTTTTCTCTTGAGGCAAGTATCATTTTATGAAGTGACGCACGAAATGGTACGCTGCCCTCAGCAGCATTCGCCATTGACATCTGTTTCGTCTCTCAGGACAATCAATACGAATGGCGCCCAAGACTGCATCCAAAAATGTCCACAGCCACAATTTTACTTTCTTCTTTTCCAACACAATTGTTTTTGCTTCATGTTTCTTTTACCATCCATTTTTTCCTTATATCTTTTTAACACCTTTCTTTCTTTCTTTCTTTCTTTCTTCTTCCTCCTTTTTCTTTCTTTCTTTGTTTCTTTCTTTTTCCTTCTTTTCTTTCTTTGTTTCTTTGTTTCTTCTTTTTCTTTCCTTCCTTCTTTACTTCTGTCCGTTTCCTTTCTTTCTTTCTTTCTTTCTTTCATTTCCTTCCTTCATTCCTTCTTTCTTTCTTCCTCCTTTTTCCTTCCTCTCTTTCTTTCTTTCTTTCTTTCTTTCTTTCTTTGTCTTTGTCCTTTCTTCCTTCTTTCCTTTTTCTTTCTTTTTTCTTTCTTCCTTTTCCTTTCTTTCATTCTTTCTTTCTTTCTTTCTTTCTTTCTTTCTTTCTCTATCAATTATTTTCTTTCCTTCTTTTCATATATTTATTTCTCCGTCCATCGACGTATTTCTTTTTGCAGTCTCGTTGCTCTTTCTTTCTTTCTTTCTTTCTTTCTTTCTTTCTTTCTTTCTTTCTTTTTCTTTCTTTCTTTCTTCTTAAAATAACACCTTAAATCTTTTTTTCTTTGTTACTTCTTATACCCTGACTTTTTCCTTTCTTTCTTTCTTTCTTTCTTTCTTTCTTTCTTTCTTTCTTTCTTTCTTTCTTTCTCTTTTTTGTTAAATTTTCCCGTTCTTTATTCATTATTCTTTGCTTTCATTTCTCTATTATTTTATATTTACTTATCTACTTAACATATTTTAATCTCACTTCTATTTTCCTTTCGTAAAAAATCGGTTAACAACGCGGATAACGTGGCTGACAACGTCCAAATGACATCATTAGCGTTTCTACTTAATAAGGAAAACTTAATTTGTCAGCATAAATTATTTCTTGTCAATGCACTTAATTAAGAGTTGAATATTAATCCCATAATGACATATATGAGATAATACACTGCGAAACTTTATGTTCAAACTTTTGTGATAATCTATGTAGAAAATATGGATTTTTACAATATACTTTTTATATATATATATATATATATATATATATATATATATATATATATATATATATATATATATATATATATATATATATATATCTGTGAGTAATCAAGTGAATACAAATTTCATTGCAAAAAAAAGTGACGTTTTCATTTTGTCGTTCGCTTACTCACATTAATCAGACATATACTAACAATACATATATATACAATTACACACATACACACACATTCAGGAAGAGGTAATTTAAGAAAATGCCAAAGAAGCTATATGCATGGCGAATTTTCTACATAATTTTTTCATAGCTGATAAATAAATATCTTCTTTAAGAAACTAGTAAATCAGTTAAATGTATAGAATTATTTGGTAAATTAATATGCAACTGTTGAATAAAGATTTTTCATATAATAAGGATAACCAATCAATGTAAATCCAGGAATTATATCTTCATCCAAGCATGATTCGTTGAATGATATTATGTCTACTTATTTTTATACTAATCCTTTCCAGTTGTTTAATCATTTTCTTGATACACACACACACACACACACACACACACACACACACACATATATATATATATATATATATATATATATATATATATATATATATATATATGAATAAGTGCAAAAGGAAAAATTATCTTGGCCGATGCGTTTCGTCCATTGATGGATTTGATCAGGGCAAATGTCTTTATTCATATTCTCCTTTTACAGATATTCTCTATCTGAAAATTCACACACTCACATACACACACACACAGACACACACACACAGACACACACACACACACACACATATATATATATATATATATATAGAGAGAGAGAGAGAGATTGAATTACATAACAAATAAATCCAAAAGCTACCTCATGGTTTTGGATTTTATTTCTCTGGTTAGAATCTACTTGGATTATATACCAACAGATTTATTACATGTACTATATATATATATATATATATATATATATATATATATATATATAATCATTTATTCGAAAATTATAACATAAAATATTATAAAACCACTACAAAAATAACCATTTTCTTTTCAACACACTGGTGTCTTATATAGTATATTATTTGTTATATATATATATATATATATATATATATATATATACCCAAGTATAGGATTGGTGTATACGGAATAAATTCCAATAGGCAACAAATACTATTCTTAAGAAGACACTAGAAGTGTTGAAACAAAATTGCTATTTTTGCATTGATTTTATAACATTTTTATTTTATAATCTATCTATCTATATATATATATATATATATATATATATATATATATATATATATATATATATATATATATATATTAAATTACATAACAGAGTAATTCAATATTACCTCACGATTTTGGATTTGTCTGTTGTGTAATTTATATTCTTTATTATAATATTGAACTCTTTTTTGTGGATCAGTTTTAATATGTTATATTATTAGGATCTACTTGGATTATATAGCACCGGATTTATTACCTCTAATACATACATACATACATACATACATACATACATACATACATATATATATATATATATATATATATATATATATATATATAATTATTTATTCGGAAAATATAGCATAAAAAAATGTTATAAAATCACTTCAAAAATAGCCATTTTGTTTCAAAACTTCTCGTATCTTCTGAAGAATAGTATTTGCTGGTTATTGGAATTTATTCCATATACACCAATCCTATACTGGGATATATATATATATATATATATATATATATATATATATATATATATATATATATATATATACAAACATAGCGCAAAAAATTTTCCTCGGAGTATTCAAGAATTGTTGACAGTGGATAAAACCTGATTGATCCTTAACTGAAAACTGGGTTTTTCTTTCTCCCTGATTTAATTCCTTTCTACGACGGACACTAAGTGAATACTTTTTTTGCTTGAATTGGTGCGAGGCGAGGAGCAGTTTCCAGCGTTCGGTGAAGTGGTTATATGGGTCCCAGATCCTTTCCGCAGAAGTGGACATTTGAAAATCATTAAGGGGACACGAAACTGAAAAGATATGTCAAGTGGATTTAGCGAGGCACCGGTGTGAAGTAGCCATCTCGAGTGGGACATAATCATTGGGAACAAGGACTTCGATTTGCTCTCCTCAAAATCAGTCGACTCGTTAGCTGCGATGTTATTTCAGACAATCTAGGATTCAGGATCGAAGCCTGGTACCTGACCAGGCAAAATGTAAGCCTATTTTTTTTTAGAATAATTCATAGTATGTATGAGGATTAAACCGCCTGTATACAGATAAAAATGAACTGCGAGAAAAAAATAGAAAAGACGTCTTCTTGCCAGTGTTATTCAAACTTTTTCAGCGAGATTATCCAAAGAGAACGAAAAAGATGGAACAATATTAACAGGATAATATATACAGATGGCACCGTGTTGTTGACAGACACAGAAAATAGTCTGAAGAAATTGCAAGAAATCATAGATAAGTTAATAAGTAACGAAAGAAAACAAAAAGAAATGACTGATCATCAATTTGAAACAGTCCAACATTCGGGCTATGCACTGTTATTGTCAAGTTCAAAGAGCTAGGAGGTGTTTTTAAAAGACGATGGAAAATGATGACGCAGACATCCAAATACGCAAGAGAATTACAAAATGTCTTCCAAAAGTGGAAGCCCGCTCGTGTAATAAATAGCGGTACGGATTGAGGAATCGGAGAGCCGAGTTCGAATTCCAGTCGAATCCATTATACGTGTTAATACCCACGGGAAAGGTATGAATCCTCTTCTTCTCCCCACAGCTATAGGGAAATATATTTTCATCCAAAACTATATTTTATAGCCTTGGGTGACAACTGGTCTACCGTAGTAAGAAATCTGCCTCGTCAGTCATGTATCGAAAGATACATGATCGCCTGTGTTTGACTACCAAAAATTAAACAAAGCAGTAAGAAAAATTTATTGTTAAAAACACGGTAAAGTGTGATGAACAGCTATGCAATATCAATCCTCCTATGTGAAAGCAGATGAAGAGGAGATCTGATATAACAGAAATGGGGTTCTACAGAAGGATGCTGAGAATACTATGAATAAAGAGTGTAAGAAACGAGGAAGCTTTAAGGAAAACGGAAACAAAGTGGACACATATCAGAATCAGAAAGTGACAGTTGAAATTTCTAGAAGACATAATGCGGAAGAAAGGTTTATGTAATTAAACACTTACATATCGTAATGAGGAACATATTGAGTGGCTTTCGAGCCTTAAATTAGATGAAAATATTTAATGTATCAAGAAAAGTATTCTTTAGTCTATGGGACGAAATAAGCGTTGCACATTCTTCTTAAGCCTTCATTCATGTACCGTGTCGCCCTATGACGTGGGCGATTATGGCTCTCCACAACTTCCTTAGTTTTATTGCTGTATGTGACAAAGACACCTCCGAAGTAATGGTGATCGTTTAGACGTCACGATACTTTCTACTTATGCGTTTATGGTCACATGGTCTACTTAATTCAATAATGGGATCGCCTGTGTTTGCTCACTGGCGAGCTATGTTCAAACTCAAGTGTCGGCAGCGACACTTTATTCCTATATAACAAGTTGTAAAACATCAGCCAAACAACTATTTGTGATTTACAATCTTCTGTCGTCACTACTTAAGTAGACTGGTCTACTCATAAAAATATAGGGAATATTTTTTTTTTTAAATAATTTCTTTGATTTACCTTCATTAGACCTTCCTAAAGGTGCGCTATTTTCAGTTGTTAAATATAGGTTTTTTATCATTTTGTTAAGACGTTGCCATATTCATAATATCGATACATGTTAAAATAGATCGCTGACTTTTTACAGAGTTACCCGTACTTGATTTATTTCAATATTTCAGGTTTGAAACTGTGCTTACGTCATTGATACCTGCATGGGTGATTGCTTAGGAATACAAGGTGGTGTATGCTTGGATGTGTGGGTGGTGTAACGGTCATTATTTGGAATTGTTACTCGGAGGGTCGAGTTTCAATTCCCGTTGGGTTCGTTATATTCATTTACGCAGATATCCCTTCTCACCTCCACCCAGCTACGGGTTAGTTATTAAGACTTATATCTCGAAATCATTATTATCTCCAAATGATGTTTCCTGGCTTTAAATAACCTGCAAAAGGTTGAAAAACCCTAAAACACAAATCAACCAATAAACTATTTGTCATATACAATCTCTCGCCAGTACTAATTAAGTAGGCTAATTCAATCGTAAAAAAAAAGAGAAAATAATATTTTTTAAATAATTCTTTAGATTTGCATTCATTAGATCTATTACTCAAGTGATCCACCTCTTCTCGCCCAATCATTGGGTTAATTTGTAAGACTCTGTTCTAGCATATATACGAACGGTAATGGGTATGACCGCATAAATACTAAATAGTAGTAAATACTGTATATTGGTCTGCATTTGGAGATTAGTCTCCAGCCGTGCTGGTCAAACCCTCTGATTCCGGGGAGAGAGGAACAGAGACGAGTCTATGTCAAAGGACAGAGTCTCGTCTTGGGAAAC